CCGCGGCACTTCTAGCGGAGTGTCATCCTCCCCCACCTGGACAGTATAAGTGATGATGTAGTGGTCGCTGTCGGGGGTGGGTCGCGCTGTCCAATCTGTCACTGCGCACTCTTTTGCCAGTGTTACATCTGGCGCGGAGCCTCTATGCCTCTCGGTGTACCGTGTCCTATTTCCAGTGTTGGCAATGAGGAACTCATTATCAATGCACCATTGCACGATGGTATCACCTCGAGAGTCAGGCGGGACTTCGTTGTCCCATGCCAATGCGTGCGCATTGGCGTCAGCACCTATGAGCTGTGGCCCGTCCGTGTTGTTGAGTCTATCGAGGTTCTCTGAGGTGATCTTGGTGGCGACAGGGGGAAAGAATGCTGATGAAATCGTCAACCGCATACCTCCATCTAGATGGATTGTCGCTTGTGCAAGCTCAATGCCTGCAACAAGCGCCGGTCCTGTCTCTACCTGTATCTCATCCCTGATGAGGATTGATACACCTCCACCACGACAGGTGCGAGCTATCCCATAATGTTGGAACCCAGGAAGTCCAAAACTAGCAGCCTCAGGGGGGGACATTTTTGTCTCACTCAGTAAGCAGAACGTGATATTATCATCGTAGAGCTGTTTACCCAAGGCTAGGCGTTTGGCCTGTGTTAGCCCAGCTGAGTTCCATTGCATGCCCCTCAATGTAGGGCCGGGATTCTCTTCCACATTTCCACTAAGCAGTAACTTGGTGCGGATGATACTGCTGACGGCGCGGTAACACGCGCCCCAAGACCGACAAGGATAACGCTGTGCCCCTGTGGGGCGCGGCTGGCTCTCGTACTGTGTGATGCTGTAAGCCTGGCACCGCAATGTTTTCCAGATGGCGAACGTTGCTGGCGCTTGGCTTCCCCCGACAATACGGGGTACTGGACCTTGGTGCCACGATGGGGTGGCCGGCATCACCAAGGAGTTATTCTAATGTTAACCTCGACCTGGCAACTCCGCATGGATGTCAAATAGATGGCAAGTTTATCGTCACTCAAAATTTCGTGGAAAAAGGCTGTCTGACACCTTTCACCTTTGACTATAGACCAGAGTTTGTAGACAGGTAAATCGCGTTTCCTTTTTGTGGCAATTGAAAACGGTAAATCCACTTTGCGTATGGAGCACAAATGCACAAATTTTATCAAGATGCAGCACTCCATAGTGTCTTTCACCATGCTCCAAAATAAGAATTTTCCCAAGGCCTTTGGATAGGCAGGTGCTGCCCTTCCAACTAAACTTATGAATCTTGAAATAGGGCAAGTCGATACTATGACACCAATTTTAAATTGCCAGGAGAGGACTGGCGGACGAAAAGCTCAAGATACTACAAGATACCCGTGATAGCCCATGGGGTGCAAGAACGGATGAACCACATGCGGCATCAGCTAAAAAGGATCGGTTGCCAACAAACCGAATTACATGTTTAGATCAGCCACAAATATGCTGAGATACAAAACTGGGAATCTCTATTGAGTGCATGCGAACCGCAGACACAGCAGAAAGCACAAGAGGGTGGCAGCTACTCTCGGCCTTAAGCCTTCCAAACTGCTCCCAGGATCGATTAAACGCCCACACCCATCCCAGGAGCAACGCGATATAGAATGCTCTGCTCGAAAGAAAAACTTAGCAATGGATCAGCGACACTACCTCCGGTAGGGGCGAAGCTGAGTTCAAGAACTGAGGAATAAATCCACTGAAAAAGGGCTTTCGACCGGAAGAAAATATCAAGACATTTTGGGGAGCATCGGAGTACTTGTTCGAAACCCCCCGGTTCAGTTAGCGAGAGCCTATAGCTATTTATTCTAACTGCTATGAAAACAGGCTTTGATCTTCAGCAGGCATAGGATAATTTCGTGGCCTTGTTTTATTCAATGAGACCCAAAGGTATTTCCGCGAACATGAACAATAGGAGAGGGGGCTTTGTTATCATGTGAAATTTTAACAGCCCGCTAGGAAAAATCCAGGAGTGAGAATTCAAGCCATATGCCGACTCAGGGGGAAGAGGGCTCAAGTTTTCCGATAGGTCAAAGCGCAAAAAAACGTTTCGCCCACCCTCCAAGGAAAGTGACGTGTTACTGCCACTGTTGTTTTGGTGCATTACAGCAGAACGTGTTACGCACGACTGCAAGACGTTCCTTTCAAGTCACAAAACGATTATCGTCTCCGGAAGCAAGGAAGGCAAGGATGAGGAAAGTATTAAAGGACAAGCCCGGGTCAAAAAGGCGCGTCCCTTCATAAGTGGGAAACCTCAGACGATAGAGTTCGCACAATACCCAACCACGCACGGTTTTGCGAAGACACAGCCCCACCAAACAAAGTCCTAACAACCCACCGCTCTGAATAGAAGACCTTTTTCTTTTGAAAGAACCCCACCTTTCAAAACCTGACCAAACGAGGTTAGAATTAATTCAGCACCGCCTCGCGAACCGTACGTCGTGGCGCGGGCTTCAGCGTAAAACCGCATCGCGACAAACATCCGGACTCATTCAGCATGGGAACGGCAGGTGTATATAATGAGAATATTTTGCGAAATCGCAAAGAATAGTCTATACCTTACCTTCCCCTATTAGGTAAAAGAGAGAGAAAGAGAGCAAGCGAGGCCTTTTATCTAGATCCCATTTCGAAAACCCCTTGCCCCTGGTACGCATAGAAAGGGGGACATCCAGTAACCTCAAGGCCTTCCCCTTATAAGGAAGTTAAAGCTTGTAGTCCCACTG